ATCAAGGGAAGCTTAAAAATTTTTTTTTTGCTCTTTTTAAAGTTTCTTGTCATCATGAAATGACGTTCTTTTTTTTTTTTGTATCCCATAAAACTGCCCTTAAGCTGTGACAAAATTAATCTTTTAAGAAAATCTGTTGATCCGTGCGACCCATAAATTCTTTTTTAGAGATCATTTAAACAATTACGCCTCACAGAGCAGCTCCGGGCTGGCGGCGGGCGGTGCCCTGCCTGCCTCTCGGATCTCGGCGTTCTTCGGCCTCAGCCCGCCTGGCTGACCTGTGCTGATTTTCCTCGGAGCTATTATTCTAACGGCCTCCGTCTTGGCTGACATCTGGATGTGTTTTATAACAGACTGTTTTCATAATTCCGCAGAAAAGTTCTCAGGATTAATACTTGTTTATTTTCATCTTCCATCAGAGCTTAAATAAACCAGCGGCCAACTAGCTGAGCTCCATTTCTGGGAGCTATTTTACATAAGCAAAAGGGGATGGCAAATTCACCAGACCTGTTTTTTTTTTTTTGCCGACTGAGCACGGTTCTGGAATGGCCATAAAACCAAGCCATGGCAAAACAACAAGGATGTTTGCATGTTCGCTGGGGTAGGAGCAGCCAGGTATGTGTGGAGGGTTCATGGTTATCTTTGGCATGTGGTGGGAGAGACACGCGTGTGCATGTCCAGGCAAGCACACAAAGGGCAGGATATTTTATTAGGATGTTTAGTCTGTTGTTGTCGCCATTGTATTTTTTTTCCTCCTCCATCGAAAGTTTTTTTGCCTTTACTTCTTGAACTTGAGAAATTTCACTGGTAAAGAGGAAGTTCAAGACACTCAGGTTTCCCGCTCAGGTGTTAATGCAGGTTTTTTATTTTTTAAATTTTTTTAGACTTTGGATCATTGAAAGGATTAAGACAGGACTTCCTGGAGGAAGGAGCCAAGGTCTGATTCTCAAGGTAAAGATTGTTTTGTTTTTGTTTAGGGTTGTTTGCCCTTTATAATTCTCTCCTATTTCAGGGTTCTTCTCATTATAAAGAGGCACTCCTTTCTGTTCCATGAACTTGCCGCTAAACTGTGATAAAATTGAGCGTTTAAAAACCTTACATTGATCCGTTGGAGTCCAAAAATTCAGTTTTAATAGGTTATTGTGGGCCCAACAAACCGGAGAGTTGTCATTCTTGCAAAACCAAAAAAATATTTGAGGTTTTAACAATGCTGTCAAGTGCCTGTCTTAACCCTTTGATGACCAGACCGGCTCAGTCAAGGGTAGAAGGTGGCATGTGAGCAGGGAGCTGTCGGAATTTCTCAGTGACCTCCTGAAACCTTGTGTTATTTGCTTTTTTTGCAGTCAACTTGTCCTCTCATTGTGTTGAAAGAGCAGAGGAGGGCTGGTGTTGTGGTGCAGCGGGTTCAGCCGCTGCCTGGGGCCTGCATCCCAAATAGGAGTTGAGTCCTAGCTGCTCCACTTACAATCCAGCTTCCTCCCAACAAGGTTGGGGAGGCAGTAGAAGATGTTCCAAGTGCTTGGGCCCCTGCGCCCATGTGGGAGACCCAGATCGGGTTCCTGGCTCCTGGCTTCAGCCTGGCCTAGTCCCAGCCACTGTGGCCATCTGGGGAGTGAACCAGAGGATGGAAGACCACTCTCTGTGTCTCCCATTCTTTCTGTCACTCTCTGCTTTTCAAATGCAATAGACTAAGTCTTAAAAAGAAGAGCAGAACACTCAAGTTCCCATGCTGAGTAAGTGTAGGAGTCAGTATTGTCCCAGACCCATATGGTTGCAGAATTTCCGCATTTTATGGGAGGTGGTATAGTATTTAAATAGGTTGCAAAAGCTAAGCTAGTGTATCTTAATTTTCACAGCATCACTAAAAATGTAATGCAATGAGTTAGTGCTAAAAAAATCCATTGATTTAAAATTAAATTGGAAGCATTTGAAATGAGGATCAAGAAAAATGGGGATAATTCATTTTTTTTTAAGATTTATTTTATTTATTTGAAAGACAGAGTTATGGCCGGCGCCACGGCTCACTAGGCTAATCCTCCGCCTAGCGGCGCCGGCACACCGGGTTCTAGTCCCAGTCAGGGCGCCGGATTCTGTCCCGGTTGCCCCTCTTCCAGGCCAGCTCTCTGCTGTGGCCAGGGAGTGCAGTGGAGGATGGCCCAGGTGCTTGGGCCCTGCACCCCATGGGAGACCAGGAAAAGCACCTGGCTCCTAGCTCCTGCCATCGGATCAGCATGGTGCGCCGGCCGCAGCGCGCCAGCCACGGCGGCCATTGGAGGGTGAACCAACGGCAAGGGAAGACCTTTCTCTCTGTCTCTCTCTCTCTCTCTCTCACTGTCCCCCTCTGCCTGTCTGAAAAACAAAAAGATTAAAAGAACACAAGAGTTACAGAGAAAGAGAGAGAGAGAGAGAGAGAGAAAGGTCTTCCATCCGTTGGTTCAGTCTCCAATTGGCTGCAACGGCTGGAGCTGCACCGATCTGAAGCCAGGAGCCAGGAGCTTCTTCTGGGTCTCCCACGTGGGTGCAGGGGCCTGAGGACTTGGGCCATCTTCTACTGCTTTCCCAGGCCAGAATCCAGAAAGCTGGATCAGAAGAAGAGCAGCCAGGACTCGAACTGGCGCCCATATGGGATGCTGGCGCTTCAGGCCAGGGCTTTAACCCGCTGTGCCACAGTGCCGGCCCCGGGGATAATTCATTTGAACTCTTTGAGGGCAGACAGCAGACCTGGACTGAAGGCCCTAAAAAAATCGAGCAGCAGAGCAAAGAAAAACAGGACCAGAAAGAAAATGTTCTACATCTTCTCTCGCCTAAACAATTAGGAAACAGCTGAAAAATCCTTTTGGAGGAACACTTGCCCAAGTTGGTGACCTAAAAATCTCACCTAAATGAGAGAATTTGAAACAAGGCATAACTGATATTTCCAAAGAAATCCATTCCAGACCCTGTAACCTGCAGGCCACAGCATGAGCTGGGAGGAGAATTAGTACGTGGCAAAGAGTTCGCAGCACTTCAGGCGGCTGAGCTGACCGGAACTGACGTGGTGCGGAAGAGACTGTAGCCATTACGCTGGAGGCGATGGCTGAAGAGCGACAGGCAAGCGTGTGTCCCCACACACGGACCGCTGCACCTGCTGGCTCTCTCTCCAGATGGCTGCAATGGCGGGGGCTGGGCTCAAGTGAAGCCAGGAGCCTGGAACTCCACCCAGGTCTCCCACGTGGGTGCAGGGCACAAGCACACAGCCATCTTCTGCTGCTTTCCCACGTGCATTAGCAGCCGCCAGCGGGGACTCGAGCGGGCACTCACTCAGTAAGGATGCAAGAGTCGCAGTCGGCGACTTAACCCTCTGGGCCACTGTGCCGCTCCCAGGAAAGATTTTTTTCCAACTTTCTTAATGTGGCAGAAGACCTAAATTGTTAGATGAAAAGTGCTCCACGTCTTTTTTTTTTGAAAATTGTTTATTTTTTTATTTTTTTTTTAATTTTTGACAGGCAGAGTGGACAGTGAGAGAGAGAGATACAGAGAGAAAGGTCTTCCTTTGCCGTTGGTTCACCCTCCAGTGGCCGCCACGGCCCGGCCAGCAAGCCGCGGCTGGCGCATTGCACTGATCCGAAGCCAGGAGCCAGGTGCTTCCTCCTGGTCTCCCATGGGGTGCAGGGCCCGAGCGCCTGGGCCATCCTCCACTGCCTTTCCGGGCCACAGCAGAGAGCTGGCCTGGAAGAGGGGCAACCGGGACAGAATCCGGCGCCCCGACTGGGACTAGAACCCGGTGTGCCGGCGCCGCTAGGCGGAGGATTAGTCTATTGAGCCGCGGCGCCGGCCTGTGCATGTCTTAATACACACAAAGTCATCATCCTTTAAGACATGGAGGTGACCATGCTTGAAAAATGAAGGTTCACATGAATTCAGTCCTGTAAGCACCAGGATCTTACAAGGGCAGAAGAGATCATTGCTGCCTTCAACTGTCCCAACAATGTTGAGGGAGGGAAGACTAAGAATGAGAGAGCAGGGCCGTGGCCAAGAGCTCTGTGTATTCAGCTCGCGAGTCACCTGAAAAAGCAATGGAAAGAAGAGTTCAAATAAACAAGGGAAGACTTGATCCTTTGAAATCTACTCCACGGCCTTTCCTGCCATAACGACGGGGAGAGCTTTAAGACTTGTAGCTAGGTTCTAGGGCTCGTTGCCTACGAGGGCTCTCAGTTAGAGACCTTCTCAGCGCTGTCTCATTGGGCTCAACACGGGACTCAAAGCACCATTCAGCTAGCGAGCCGTTAAGTAATTATGTTCATGTCTCAAACTATTACGCAGCAGGTAGAGAGAGGGGAGGGGCCTTCAAGGGAGGAATTTCCATCTGAGGCTGTCGAGTGGGAAAAGCAAAATGAGAGAGCATGTATAATGTGATCCTTTGGGCAGCCAAACTATCCTCAAAGAATCTATTTCCTATCACTTAGTACCACATAGGCACTAAGTATGGTGTGTATGTACACAAGTAGCCAAAGATGAGTGCGTGTTTGTGTACGGTTATGTGAGCGTAATTCTCAGTTAGAATGCCCTGCCTGAGGGCGGGGAGACAAATGGGGGGGGGGAAGGTAAAAATCCAAGCTAGTACCCGTGATACGAAGAAGAAACAGTGTGTTTACTTGTGTAAATATATATGCATGCAAACAGAATACACGCACGCTTTCAGAAGGAGATGAATAGGACATTGCATTATCATTAAAACATACAGAAAAAAAAGCAAAAAAAAAAAAATCCCAACAAAACAAAACTCACGTAGAGCTGTGTCCCTGCTAGCTGTAAGCGTGTGAATGGTTTGCCAGTTCGTTTCAGAGTTTTTAAGGAGGATAATGTGAGAGACAGACCCTGAAGGCTGCACCCCGGTTGCTTCTGCTTCTCCCCAGTGTCCTGCATTTCTCGAGTTAGCGTAAGTCTTGAACATGCATGGCAGTAATTTTGCAACGTTTGCCTATATTATCCACAGGCAAATGGAATCATCGTGTGTTTTGTTGTGCTTTTCAATTTTGGTCTTGTTTCTGATTTTTGTTCATCCAGGTGTGTGTAGACCTAACTTGTATAGGTTAACTCTTTCACTGAGCGAACAAATTGGCAACTTACATGCACTGCTAAGATAGGTATCCTTTTGTTATAAATCATGGTAGGATGCCCTTGTACATGCTGCTGTATGTGTGTGGGGATACACACATGTGCTGGTGGGAGAATGTCTCCAGGACACATGCACATACACATACACACTCCATACATGTACTTATGTCCACACACGCACATATTTGCATAAATAAGCATGTGTTCCTACATGTTATGCATGCATATATGCATACATGTGGATGCCTCTCACATACACACATTGTGTGACATGGACAAGTGGAGGGGTACCTATCTTGTGATGTAACCATTGCTTTGTTGGAGTTGTGTGTGTGTCCAGATATTGTTGTGATACACATATACTGTTATGGTTTAAACAGGCTGTAGCTCCCCAAACTCGTGTTTAAACCACCAAGTCTTATATTAACGGTTAATGGATTAAGGGTGGAGACTTGAACCAGGAGGAGAGCCCGGTAGGAGGCCTGTAGGTCACGATGCTTGCCCTCTGAAGGCACGTCCCAGGAGAGGCTGGTGTGTAAGCTGTGTGCTAGCTGTGTCTCTGGCTGCTTCCTGTCTTGCTGTGTGACCGTCCCTCTGTGTGTTGCCTGCTACCGCCATTCTCCAGGTTTACCAGATGTCTAAACCAGTGGGGCTGTAAGTCCCTGGCAGCTTCAGGCCTCAAAACACATTTTTAAAACCCATCTCCTGGGCAATAAAACGGATACAAACAGCTGCCACACACGTCCACGTCTCTCTTCAGCTTGTAAAACTAGTGTATTTGACTTGATGACCTTGTACGTTTCCAATTTTCGTTATCTGGAATGGAGAGAGAGAGAAAGAGAGAGAGAGAGAGAGAGAGAGAGAGAGAGATGGAGAGATTGGTCTTCCATCTGCTGGTTCACTACCCAAATGGCCACAACAGCCAGGGTTTAGGCCAGGCCAGAGCCAGGAACCAGGGACTTCACCTGGGTCCTCTATAGAAATGGCAGTAACCCAAGTACTTGAACCATGATCTGAAGCCTCCCAGGCACATTAGCAGGAAGCTGGATGAGAATCGGAGTCGCTTGGACTTGAACTAGGCACTCTATAGGAGATGTTGGAGTCCCAAGTGGTAGCTTAACCTACTGGGTCCCAATACCCACCTCTACATTTCTTTTTAAAAAAGATTTATTTTATTTATTTGAAAGAGTTACAGAGAGAGAGAGAGAGAGGAGAGAGAGAGACACTCACACACACACACAAGGAGAGGTTTTCCATCCATCTGCTGGTTCACTCCCCAAATGGCCACAACAGCCAGGGCTGGGCCAGGCTGAAGCCAGGAGCCGGGAGCCAGGAGCTCCATCTGGGTTTCTCCCCTGTGCCTCTGTGTTGCCTTGACCTTGATGCTGGTGACTTTGCAGAAGTCTTCACAGTTCACAGTCAGCTTCCTCCATAGCCTCCTTCATTGTTAGCTCATTCAGTGCAGATTTAGGCTTTGTTTATCCCAGCATTATAAAAATACATTATCTGCTGGTACTTTTATCCCCATGTATTTGCCACAGCTACAGGAAAGTTTGGTGAGACTTCTCTCCCCCCGCCTCCCTCTGGAGCTCTTGCTGGAGGGAGTGCTTATTTGTGGCACCGCAGTATCATCTTTATAAGAGCCAATGTTTCCATTTAGTTTTTGGTTGCCTTTCTTGATTCTGTCCTGTTCCATTTCTTTATTTCTGCATGTAGCCCACTGGGTTTTAATCTCCTAGGATTTAACATCTGGCAGGGCCAACCTCACTACGTTACCCCCAACCCTCTGTTTATTCTGGTTATTCTTCTAAAACAATCACCAAGTTCCCAGAAAGGAAAACGTTTGAATTTTTATCATGATTTCATTAAATTAATTATTACTATGTGACATAATCTGAGACGACTTCTCCCAGACAGAAATATGTCTCTCCATTTATTTCCGTCTTCTTGTGTTTCTCTCAAGAGAGTGGGTGAGGCCTTTGTAACTAAAGCAAAACAAGACTCAGAAACTACACGGGAAAAGTGAATGGATAGGAATACGTAAGAATAAAATGAAAACTCACCAAAGGTGAAAAAAATGGCAGAGATCAAATTGAAAGACAAGGTCAGGCTGGATAAAGATTTGCCAAACTTGTCAGGGGGCAAAAAAAAAAAAAGTCACTAAAGTCTGGGCTTACATATCCATCACCAAAATACGGAGTCTCAACAGGAAGAATCGAACCTGCACAGACAGCCCAGAGACAGGAAAGGCTGGGAAACAAGAGATAAAAAGATGTTCTGTGGTTCACCCGTGAGCTGTGTATCCCATCAGGGGGAAAGGCCTGTCGTACAGGGGTGAGAGTGTGCCTTTGTCCAGTGCCCTTAGCAAGTTAGTCATTTCCAACACAGGAATCCACCCTGGGCAGACCTGGGTCCTCCCCTCCCAGGTGCTCCTCCAAGGATGTAGCCCAGTGACAAGAAGAGTATGCGGGTGGAAGAGCAGGCAAGCGAGGGGGCGGTGTTCTCTGGGAAGGCATAAAAACACTGCGAGCCCCCAGGCGTCAGTCTATAGGGGTTCTGGCAAGCGCCTTCTCACTCTTCCCTGAATCAAAATGCAATGCGGTTTTAAGAAAGAGTGGGGGTGTGTGTGCTGAAATACAGCAAAGAAATCTGGATTCAGAAACCAGAGTTCTGGGTGCTCCTGCTAGAAACGGAGAGGCGCAGACCAAGCACCAAGCAGCCCGTGGTGTGAGCAGCTCCTGCACGGAGTTTGGGGTCTGGTTTTTTTAGGGGAGCAGATTCACTATTCTTGTGTGTTTTTGCAAGCTTTATGCAGGATTTGCATTTTTTCCAACACATGCCCGCTTGCATTTCAATAAATGAATTACGGAGATTAGCTGAAAACCCCAGACTTGGGCTAAGTTTGGAGTCATCAGTGTTTGCAAACAAACAGCACAGAGCGTCTCTTTCTCTTCCAGGCATCAGTCTGTGATTTGTGAAGTTGGCCCTGTTAAGGATTCCTTAGTTTTGCAAAACATTTGAATTCTGTCCCATTAGGCTTTTACATTTTGCGTAGGTGGTTGAAGGGAGCTGCAGGCAGGGATTCACTCGGTTTTGTCCTGGGGGACTTGGGTTGATTGACCTCTCTGGGGGTGAACCCACGCATCCTTGGGAGCTGCTGGGGCTGGAGGGTGGAGGCAGGGAGGGCAGGCTTTGCCCTTCACCCAGCGGACAGGGGCTCTGGTTTTGATATCTCTTCCTTCAGCCTCTTGGGGACATGCATTTTTATTTATTTACTTATTTATTGTTAAATCTGGGGAAGGAGGGAGGGAGGAAGGAAGGGAGGGAGAGAGGAAGAGGGAGAGAAAGAGAGACAGAGCAAAGAAATATTGTCCATGCCGTGGTTCAGATGCCCACAGCAGCCAGGGCTCGGCCAGGCCAAAGCCAGGAGCCACAGGCTCCATCTGGGTCTCCCATTTGTGGACGGCAGGGCCCAGATGCTTGGCTCATCACTGCTGCCTCCCAGGGGCTGCAGTGACAGGAACCTTGAGCGGGGACTCGAATCCCTGTGCTCTCATGTGGGCCCCGGGCGTCCTGGCCCGCGTCATAGTTGCCAGACCAAGTGCTGTGCATTTTCTAAGCACTTCTCTGTCCCTTTCCTGCACTTGAGAGTTTTGCTTCTTATAGCCATTTTAGACCATTTCCTTGGCCCTTGGTCTGACTGAGGTTGGTGCCGTGTCTTCTTGCTAGATCTTTCCCATACGCTGGCTGTCGGGGGCCCTGCAGAAACAGGTTGCGTCTGGTAACAGGGTGGTTCCTGCCTTCCCAGGGTGAGCTCAAAGAATGTAGAGAACCTTGCAGAGTGGGCTGGAGGTGATACCCCCGCCTTGTCCAACTCACTTTTGAAATACAGCAGATGTGGGATCATTAGCCTCTGGTCCCCGATCTTTGGAAGACATGAGGACAGTAATCTTTTCCCTGGAAGAACACACAGAGCAGATGGGATTCACTGTAGCAGGGTGAGGGGCTTGCAGTAGGAACCTGGGGACGAGAGGGGCGGGGGGCTGGGAAGGAGGAGGAGGAGGGGGAGGAGGAGGAGGAGGAGGAGGAGGAGGAGGAGGAGGAGGAGGAGGAGAAGGAGGAGATCAGCTCGTGGAAAGTGGTCCCAGGACGGAATTAGAGCAGGCAGAGAAGTATGAGTGAGAGGGCAGTCCTTGATCTAGCAGCCCAAGTTGGTTAAGGGGAAAGTGGTCCCAGGACGGAATTAGAGAAGGCAGAGAAGTATGAGTGAGAGGGCAGTCCTTGATCTAGCAGCCCAAGTTGGTTAAGGCACGTGTGTGAGAAGCTCCTGGACCTCTGAACTCCCAGGGGCTCCTGGTGACAGGAGAGCAATGCGGGACGCTGTCCACTTCCCGCCTTCTCCTGTCACCCCCTCCGGACCCTGTGAGGCGCACCTCCTGCACTCAACAGGTGCATGTCAATGGCACTCACGCACCGTCTGGGGCCTCCCTCCACGTCCCCATCGTGAGATGTAAGTGTGTAGCACGAAGGCACCGAATCTTGTGCCTGGCACACAGTAGTCGCTCAGTAAGTTCAAGGTCCCTCAGTCCCTGGGGGATTCCTTTCCTGTAGGGACTGCTTTGTCCATCAACTTAGCGTTCAAAGTCTTCGGGGTTGTGAAGCACTCACAGGATCACCCCCGGGGGACTTTCTAATGTCTCTGCACGCAAGGCTTCCCAGCTACTTACGCCTTGCTCAGGCTCCTGGATTCCTTGGTCGATGCATCCTGTGATGCAGCTGCGCTGGCATCAGTAGGGTGTCCCAGAGACAGGTGCGCAACAAGGGGCTGAGGACTAAGCGGACACAGCCATATCCCGGTCAGGTCTTTTGTCTCTTGCAGCAGTCCGTCGTCGGACAGGTCCTGCGCTTCCTCCTCTTTCAAATGTGCTTCCCTCACTTGCCTCTGGGAACCTATTCATTTTTTTTTTTTTATCTTTTATTTAATGAATATAAATTTCCAAAGTACGTCTCATGGGTTACAATGGCTTTCCCCCCCGATACCGTCCCTCCCACCCACCACCCTCCCCTTTCCCACTCCCTCTCCCCTTCCATTCACATCAAGATTCATTTTCGATTATCTTAGTATACAGAAGATCAGCTTAGTATACCTTAAGTAAGGATTTCAACAGTTTTGGGAACCTATTCATTTTGAGAGTGCAGCTGAAGACTTTCATATTCCGGGGTTTCTCCCAACCCAGTGTGTGAAGGGTGTGTGTGTGTGTGTGCGCGCACGTGCGTGTGTGAAACCCTGTGAATGATCTAAACATTATGGCATTTCTTTTCTTTTCTTTTTTTTAAAGATTTATTCATTGGGGCCGGCGCTGTGGCTTACTTGGTTAATCCTCCACCTTCGGCGCTGGCATCCCATATGGGCGCTGGGTTCTAGTCCCGGTTGCTCCTCTTCCAGTCCAGCTCTCTGCTGTGGCCTGGGAAGGCAGTGGAGGATGGCCCAAGTGCTTGGGCCTCTGCACCTGCATGGGAGACTGGGAAGAAGCACCTGGCTCCTGGCTTCGGATTGGTGCAGTGCTGGCTGTAGTGGTCATTTGGGGAGCGAAACAGTGGAAGGAAGACCATTCTCTCTGTTTCTCTCTCACTGTCTATAACTCTGTCAAATAAATAAATAAAAAAGATTTATTTATTTATTTATTTGAAAGGCAGAGTTACGGGGAGAGGCAGAGGCAGAGAGAGAGAGAGAAAGAGAGAGAGAGAGAGAGAGAGAGGTCTTCCACCCGCTGGTTCACTTCCTAATTGGCTGCAACTGCTGGAGCTGTGCTGAT